ACAGATAGGGGTCTGAGGGCAACCACACTTCTACTCCGATGAACCAGCCAGAGGATCTAAACTCCTCTAAATGAAACAATCTACTTCCCTTGGACTGTGGGACCATCTCTGCTTCCTTGTGAATAACTAGGCAGGCAGAGCCTCTTTCATGCATCCTCGTCCCCTGTGTATCTCTTGGATGGTACTTTTTGGTTCAGAGTAAAAGAGGGCAGTTTTAAGCAGGTCTGACTTACCGTTCTCATTAGTCTTTAAACCCGGGGCAAGCCTTGGGTTCTGGCTCAGCTCAGCATCTGGGAGGTTGCCTATTTATAAGCAGAACACCCTGGAATTGTTCATCTATGAGAAGGCCTTTGTGAGGAAAATGGTAGCTGACAGCAACATTCTAGGCATTCTTTAATTTTCAGCACTTTGCTTCCATGGGATACATCTGTCAGGACTGTTTCTTTTCCCTTTTCTATCACTGGTGAGTCAAATTAACTGTTGACTTGTGAAGTTCCAAAGCTTCTGTAATGTTAACCTAAATGGTAATAATATAGATGCATCTTACATGCTCTGAGAAATGCTGTCAGAAAGGATGTCATGGGTCATTTCAATTCTGAAAATTTAGATGCGTTCACTCTCTGAATTTATCTTCCTGCTTTAGCCCTAATATTAGGTGACAGTAATTTACATAAAAGATTTTTCCCAAGCATTCCTACATCTGAATTGTAATCAGACTTCTGAGTTAGAGCTGTCAAAAAAACAGTTCCTTCCAGAGTTCAAACCAAGATCTCCTTTAAGTACACAAAGATCAGGCCCCCAGATAATCACAGAAAATGTCAGTGATGGCTCTGAGGCTTTAACAAATTCTTGGTTTTTGTGATAACTTCTGTTGTTAGCTTGCCATTTAGTCAAAGCTGTCAAATCCATGCTAGACTGCCCCTGAATTGGTGTCCTCCTCAGTTCACCTTATGTTGTCGTGATATGTTGTAATGCTATGCTATGTTATACCTCTTATTCATCCCTTTCCTTACTGAACTCTTGACAAATATTTGTCTATTTGGAATTTTGTGTTATTTGATCTTATGTCCAGCACCTAGCAACAGATACAACATTTGTATGTATAAAATTATTACTATTTTACAATGTGTGTTTGTGTATGTGTTTGTATGTTTGTGTAAATGTGGATGCAAGCATGCTATGGTGCTCAAATGGAGGTCAGAAGCTAACCTGGGATGTTGATCCTTGGCATCCCCCTCTTTCTAGACATAGTCTCATGTTTATCACAGTTTCTATCAGGCTAGCTGGCCTGTGAGCTTCTGGGAACTCTCTGTCTTCATCTTTGAGCTTGCTGTGGGACCACTGCGATTACAGATATTCACACTAGGCATCCAGCCTTTGTGTGAGTACTGGGCTAAGAGTTCAAGTCCTCCCACGTGCCGGTGCTTTCCCACAAAGCCATCTCCCTAACCCGAGAACTGATGTTTTAAGTTGTCTTGCAGTTAAACTGTTTTCCTTCCTTTGCAGCCTGATTCACCCATTTGTTGATCCTTAGGGGTAGCCTCCTGTTTTTCTAATATGAAGCCATTTATCTCTTACCATTTTATGCTGCAGTGCACCTACTTTGATGTTCATTAGAAGAAAATAAATGCTAATATTAAGTGCAAACATTAGCTTCTTTCAGATTCTATGCATCAGCACTTAGTGCTTAATTAAAGATTTTACTGAATCTCCATTAGTGTTTTGCAGCCCAAGATAATAAGAGAGAATTTTTACTCCTACAGCATTGGATCTCAAAGAAAAAGCACTAAATAAAAAAAAAAAACAAGTAAAACAAACAAGCAAACAACCCTAAATAAACTCAAGGGTGTATCCATGAGCTGTCCAAAGTCCTGACAGGACAAGCAGCTTCTCTATCACAGAGTGGCAAAGCAGTAAAACCAAACAGTACCTCATGCTATCTATTTTGTAGGTATTTCCCTATATCATGCTTTCCTATTCAGTCAGCTACAAGGGTTGAAGACTGCTCAATGTTTATCTTAGCGTCTTTTTAGATCTAACTTTAGGCCAGTAGAGAGCAAAGTATCCCACTTTCATATGTACTCACAGTAGTCACAATTAGAATAGAAAGAAAGACAAAGAACAAGATGGAGCAAGGGAGGTAAGCACCACTGGGGGGGGGCGGTTAATAGAGAATGGGCTGTGTGCCATTCATTGCTCTGCAGCCACCTGGTCTCCTCGTGACATAAAGGAGATGCTATGCTTGGTTGAAATGTCCAAACAGTTGGGTGGGTTTCAAAGAGATGGTGGGTGGTTATGACATGGTTTGTTGCTTTTTCATTGGCAATGAAATCCAATGGTGCCAGTGAGGCCATTGTGTTCATACAAGAACCTGGCAAGCCCAGGTGTGGGAGGCTGGAAAGCCGGGAAAGGAAATGCAGTTTTATGAAGGCTTTTCTAGCACATTAACCATATAATTCCTCAGCAGGATTGCTGGCTTTCTGCAAAATGCAAACGTCTCCCACACAATTGCCATAGTGGGGTTGTTTTTGGAAAAGCGTCAGAGCTCTTTCTGAGTGAACATCATGGGGGCCTCTCTGAACTAGGCAGGACCACACTCTCACTGCTGTTGCCTTCGCCTATCCTTGAGCACTGTCCGTCTCAACTGCTTTCTCCAACTGAGCTAATTTTATAAGACAACTTGACATTAACTCTGGTTGATGTCTTCCGTGCACTTGACTAAGGCATCAAAATTTCAGATGTAAAATATGAGTTTGGGTGTCAGTCGGAACTTCAGGAGAGAGTCATGTATCAAAACATCATATTTCCTATTTCATTGGTTGAGGTGACCAAAGATAAGGTGGTCCATCGCTCACAACCTTCCTGATCCATTCTTTTTTTCTCCCTCCTTCTTCCCTCCCTCCCCACTTCCTTCTTCCCTCCTTTCTTCCTTCCTTTTATTGTATTCTCCTTTACTGCCACAAATTCTTGTGGAAGGTAAACATGGCAAATGGGCAAAAGTGTGAGCCCTGAGGTCAGACAGCCTGAGATTGGCTCGAAGATGTTGTCATTTCTAACATATCAAGACAGGTCTGCATTACAAATACTTAGAATAATGCCTTCTCACAGCGCGTGTAAGGGGTCTAAATGAAGTAAATGGCAGAGTAAACAGTCAATAAATGTCAGATATGATTATGCTGCTGGCTCTCCCTTCAAGGGGGGGGGGTATGAACTAATTTACTAACGGTTGTCTCCATGATTATTCCAGTAGCTCCAGTGTTCATCACTGAATGAAGGCAAGGTGGAAATCATGGAGGGTCTTTCCAAGTATACAGATGCCAGTTGTGTCGGGGAGACGAAGAGAAAAAGGAACTAACTGTGTGGGTCAGGCCTGCTCAGACAGGGTGAATGAATATACCGGGGGGAGAGTGGGAGAAAACAAGAGACAAGCGATGTGTGCAAGAATCAGGGAGGGTCTCTCCACCCTCCCGAACCCCAGAAGAGGTCCGGGTGTGGGTAGAGAGCACAGTTCAGTGGGGGTGATTTTTTTTTCTTCATTACAAAAGCAATGAGGCTGAATGTTTATTTTCTGCCATCTTCTTTCTCCAGATCTATGGAAATAATTTACAGAAGACCCCTGAGAGTAATTAAGCTTACAATTCCTTTGCCAGTAAAATGAGAAAAGCCAGCTCTCAGTAAATTCTGAATTCCACCATGGATGTTGCAGAAGCAGAACTAAAAACAGCTGCATTCTCTCCCTGCTGCCGGATCGACTGTAATTTGCGCTGCTCCCCTCACTCCTAGCACACAGCAATCAGTGCTCAGAAGTGAAGGGTTTTAAGATGATGAATGTTTTATTTCTTAAAATAAACAGTAGCAATTTAGAAACACAGTTATGTATTTTACATTTATTTTTTATATAGTAAAAATATATTGGAAACTTCCTTACTGTCAAAAATTCTTACACGCACTTGTCAAAAATATCAAGATGACAAGCCAGTATAGAATTCAGATTTAAATAATAGACTTCCGTGAAACTTCTGATTGTTTGGCTTGCACTGACCCAATGATGCAGATTCCTCATTCCTGCATAAGTATTTTAAAGCTCTCACATTTAATAGCTATGCATTCTAATAATTAAGACCAAAATGTGAATATTTTTAACACTTTGCTTTTGATTTCCTCTCTCCCTTCTTCCCCCCACTCATTATTTTCCCATTCCCTTATTTCCTTCCTTTGTGTATCCTTTGTTTCTGGTGACAGATAAATGCCATGTACTCCAGTTTAGACTTGAACTTGTCATCCTTCTGCCTCAGCTTCCAAAACCCTGGATCTTCAACTGTGCAACACTATGTCAGTGACTTCTGTAGCTGTCACAAAATATCATGAGCCAATACAATTTATAGAAGAGTTTGTTTTGGCTTATGGTTCCAGAGGGTTACATTTCCATAAGAGTGGAGAAGGCATAGCTACAGGAGCAGGAAGCTGAGTGGTCACATCTCAAACACACACATGATTATGAGAGAGCAAACTGCAAAGGGGAAAAGAAGGCTATAGATTTTCAATATCAACTCCAGTAGCTTACTCCCTCCAGCAATAATCAATAAGCTAAGTTTCATGATCTCTGAAAGAGCACAGTCACCTGGAGACCAAGTCACTCAGACACATGAGTTTATAGGAGACATTTCTCATTTAATCCATAATGACAATCACGCCTAAATAACTTTTCCGCTCCCCACCTAGGACATTCCAGTTTCCTGAGAGAACTCCTTGGAGGATGAGAATTATGCAGCTGATAACTTGCCCACACTACCTTTCCATGTCTCTAATACATTCACATATTCTTGCCAGAGCTGCTATCATTACTGTCTATGTACTCCAAGGCCTGTGACTGTTAAGACATACATACCATTATTTCATTGGTTTGTCATATTCATGATTTCATTGTCAAGCAGGACATCATCATGCTAGAATGATTCTCCATTTCAGAGATGCACAAAGAGAATAAGAACAATACAATGGTGTTCTCTTCAGCACACATATACTGAAATTGGAACAATATAGAGATTAGCATGGCTCCTGCACAAGGATGACATAGAAGTTCATGAAGCATTTCATATTATCATACAATGTAAATCTCAGCACCCACATTTCATAGGAGAAAACCAGTATTGTGACTGATCAAAGTTCAAAGAGTAGGCTGGGGAGATAGCTTGGTAAATGTTTACCATGTGATATGAGGACCTGAGTTCAATGTCCAGAACCTATATAGCAGCACGGTGTCATACTGAGTAGGCAGAAATAGGTAGATTATAGACCCACTCACTCGCCCAACAGAAACAGCAAGTGAGAGAAACATACTGTCCCAGAAGCACATGGTGGACAGCATCCTGTGAATGACGTCTGATGCTAACCTCTGTCTTCTAGAAATCACACATACACACACACACACACACACACACACACACACACACACACACACACACCCATACATACCATGAGGCTGGGTGGGTGGGGTGAGTTCAAATAATGGTGAAGTGGCAAATACAGGAGGCTCGAGTCTCCAGTCTCCAGTTTCTGACTGCAAATCTTTCCTACTTAGCTTGTCTGCCACTGTGACCTTGAGAGGTTTTTTATTCTCTCTGAGCTACAGCTCCACTCCTTGCTTAAGTGAAGTTAACACTGATAATAACAGAGCATTCGCGACGCACAGTAAGACAGGAGGCTCCAAACAAATCCATGAGTTCAGATCAACCTTTTTACTTCCTCAAGGTCATTTGATTTTTTTTTGTGCCAAATTGAATCACATTTGCTTTTCCTAATTATTAAATATAAATGCTCAACTACCATTGTATGAGCTTTTGAAAATCATGGTGGAAGAGATTCTGGTGTTAAATGAATGACCTTTAGTCAAAACAATGAAGACAACAATGACATGACTCGAGCGGAGGATCACAAAGGAGTTTTCATACTTAGCATAGCTGCCTGATTTCATGAATCCTCTCAAGAGGTGAATGCCAGCTTCGTTGCTCGTCTAGAATCAACTGTGAGCATTTGGCATGATGTTTATAAAATAAAGTATATGCCATTGTAGAGTTCTCATTCCTATAGACAGCCCTTGGGGAGGGGTATTCACTTACCCCAGACCTCTGTCCTTAACAGCATTTTCATTTTCATTTGTTTAGTTTTTATCTTATTTTATTTTTTACCATACTTGTTTTTTTTCCCTTTTGTATGTTTAGATTTCTTTTCAATTTAAATGCTATAGGCAAAGCAGCTTGGCTCTTGGTGCTATTATGTATTTACATAACCTGTTATATAATTCCTCATTTGTCATAAATGTTAATTAGCTGTGCTTTCCAAGTCACACAGAGGTTATTCTGATTTCGTTGATGAGGAAATTAGGGCTAAGATTGATTGGGAGCAACAATTTGAATCATACTACATAGTGACCCCATAGCATTTCAGGAGTTGGCGTCCGTGCTCTGAGTTCCATGGTTTTGGGCTTAATTGACAGATCTAGTCACTCTAATTGGTTTCTTTGAAAAAAGGAACAGGGAAACGTGCGTTACCAATGCTCTTCTCTCCATTTACCAACTATATCAGAACTTCCTTTGTTGGTGATCCACAGCCCCACCCTCCTCCCTTCCAGGTCTCACCTTGTCTCTTTATGTGCTTTGTGTATTGTGTGTAACATATATAATTGTTAGTGGGGGTGTCTGTGCACATGCGTGGGTAGATATTCATGCACATGTATGTCATGCGGAAGCCAGAAGTTTGCAGTAGATGTCTTTTCTAGATGCCACCCACTTTCCATGGTTAATTTTTGAGCCAGGGTCTCTCAGGAAACATAAGGCTCATCAAGTCAGCTGGCCCTTGGGCCAGTGGGCTTCAGAAGTGTGCCCGCCTGAACCCCCTCAGCACTGAGACTTCAGGCACAGCGGCGCTCTTTGCTTTACCTAAGCTTTCTTGAACAGGGACTTTCCTTCATTTGGTCATGTTCTACTTTGTGCTGGTTACTTCCTGAACTTTTGTCTTCCTGTGTGAGGAGGTCATGTCTATTATTTTCATGCACTTCAAGCTTCACTTCAATTGTGCAGAGCCTGAGATGCTCTCAGTAGCTCTCATTTACATAGAAAAGAATGCTTACTTTGGGGAGTTAGATCAGTCAGTAAAGTGCTTGCTTTGCAAGCATGAGGACATTGGTTTGATCTCCAGAATCCAGATGAAAACAAACAAACAAATAAATGCATGGTTTGGTTGTAGGCGTTTGTAACCCTGGCCCTTGGGGTAGAGATAGACAGATTTCTGAAGCTTGCTGGTGATCCCAGGTCCCAATGAGAGAGAGATTGATCCTGCATCAAAACAAAACAAAACTAACCTAAATTAAACTAAGCAAACCTAAACGTGTATGACACCTGAGTCATACACCTCTTACCTCACATGCACACACATCATGTGACCTGAGAAAATATGCTGGAGCACAGAAACACACACACACACACACACACACACACACAATACATCAACACATACCCAAGAAAATATAGTTATCCAAGTTGTTTATCAGCTATCAGGTAAGCTGTGAACTTGCCCATTTTGACAATAAATTCTATGAATGGATTATAGATAACAATAGTCTAGGGTCAGTTCTTTCTGGAAACATCCTCATTTCCATTACTCTGAGGTGAGTTACTTATTTCATGCTAGAACACATGAAATTTCAAACTTTATTTTTACATATATTCCCTGAGAATCCCAGGATAATATCGTCCAAAGTTCTCAGAGTTCTGTGTGCCTAAGAAAGAATATGAACACACTTGTCAGCAATCCATCAGGACTGGATAGCTCAGGGGTGTTTGCACAGGTAATGCCTGATGGGAGAGCTGCTGGCAAGAGAAGGAATCTAGATTTTGTTCACATATATTACTTTTGTTCCTTCTTTGGCGTCAGTATAGAGTGTGGTGGGGTCTATAGCAAAGTGGATTCTGAGAGCTCATATTTTTAGACAGTAAGTCTTTACATAAAGCCAGAACTTGATGGTGGGTGCACAGACTTATCATGTTACCTGTTCATTTCTGCCATTTGTACTACTCTTGTGTACACACAGCTTTGCTAAAGGTATGTTGATGCTACATGATTCTCATATTGCCATTACTTTTTGGTGTTACTTTTTCTTATAATTTATACTAGGCAAAGAAGGACTTTTTTTTTTCAATTGATCAAGAGACAAATGAAGAGTAGTTGAGTAGTTGCTCTTATGGATTGATGGACTCTTTTAGAAGTTTTGAAATGAAGGGTAAAGGAAGGGAGGTTGAAGAGGCAGCCAAGTCATTGAAAGGTATGCCATTTAAGAATGACCTGAGTTTGATCCCCAGCACCTATGTGAAAAAAACTGGGCAAGTCATGTGCACCTATATTCCCAATACTGGAGAAGTAGAGATAGGAGGAACCCTGAGGCTTACTGGCCTTCTAGTCTTGTAGAATTAGGAAGCTTCAGGTTCAATGATATATCCTGTCTCAAAAACCAATGTGTGGATCAGTTGAGGAAGACTCCAGAAATTGGCCTTTGGCTCCACATGCACATACACATACAACTGTGCACACAAAGAGCACAGACACAGGCATGTGTACATATGTACACACACAGAGAAGAAAGTAAAAGAAAAAAGGAAGAAAGTCTTCCAATCCAGCAAGACTACCATATCAAGGAAAAAACTATTTTTTTTTCACCAAATCTGACCCAATGGGAACTGAGGGAAGGCTGATCTCTGGTGAACCTTGTCCCTTGTTCTTAGATTATTAGATTAAATATGGTATTACTTCTTTAGCTTGTGAACAAATTCAAGAGAAAAAAGACTCAAACCAGACCACAGCAAACCAAAATACCTCTAAAACTAACAACACAAATACCTCCAAAGCCCTATTCACTGTTATAAGAATTTGATCTAGTAGCCAAGCTTGAATTGTTTAATGACTCTGTTATTACCATTGCATGTAACTCAGAACAGTAAAAGGAACAATAAAGAGATTTAACCACATCCGGAAAACAAACACCTTCACACTGTTCTTAATGATGTTCAATGAATCACCGAATTGAAGGGTCTGAGGTTAGGCAACAGGAAGCTTCTTATGGAGGAGTAGGCTAAAACCATCTCAAGGGTATTTCTTTTTAGCCCTGGGATGCTGGCCAGAGTGTTGCTATGGCCACCAGGAAGGACTAATAGATGAATTTTCAATATTCTAATGCTAAAGGAAATTCAAAAAAGGAACCGAAGAGATGACCGAAGAGATGAGAAGAGAGAGAACGGAAGAGATGTTGAGCAGGAGGGGAAGAGCACCCCCAAAGAACAGAAACCAAATGACTAATGGATTCTATTAAGAATTCCCAAAGGCATCCATACTGGTCATTTTTGAATGGAAAATTTTGAATGAAAGTCTTGTGCTAAATATGAAGAGGTGTTTAGTGCAGGGGTCACATTTTTCTATTGTTTTGTTTTTGTTTTTGTTTTTTTTTGTTTGTTTGTTTTTCGAGACAGGGTTTCTCTGTGGTTTTGGAGCTTGTCCTGGAACTAGCTCTTGTAGACCAGGCTGGTCTCGAACTCACTGAGATCCTCCTGCTTCTGCCTCCCGAGTGCTGGGATTAAAGGCGTGCGCCACCACCGCCCGGCCACATTTTTCTATTGTTAAGATACAGAACTGTTGATATTTGGTATTATACATTCCAATTTGCTACCCTAGATGTTATCAGTGGCACAAATATTTACAGTATTCCTTCTTTAGACAGAAATTGAAGCAAACAAGTTTTTGTTTACAGAAAATTTTGTAAGTTCCTTGTTACACTTTACCCTGGAGTAAGGCACTGGTCAGTCCCTCATTTTTAATGTTATTTTTTAAAGGAAAATGAGAGTAACTTTTTTCTGGTTTCTGTGGTACTGCAGAAATACACTGATTGTGACATCCTGGCAATGATTCACTTCAACACATACCTACTGAAGGTTGGACATTCAGTCTCATACTAATTCTTCAGGGAGAAAACAGGAAGATAGTCCTGCACACTAAAGTGTCTTCATGCGTTAGGAAAGGAGAATCTGTGATGTAAATCACGAGCCCCCATAAAGCCA